GCTTTTCCTAGGGCTGGGTTCCCCCAGAGAAAGAGGTGTTTGGGAAGCAACAATCTACATGGGAGAAGGATTCACGGTTTTGAGGTACATCTGGGAAAAAGGCAATTGCAGAAATGGATGTAGTGGCACATAGCTGCAATGCTAGCGCTGGGAAGGCTGAGGCAGGAAGCCTGAAGTTCAACGGGTAAGATCGTGTCCCAGGCTGAGAATGCGCTTAGTGGTAGAGTGCTTGCCTAGCATGGATGAAGCCCTGGGTTCAATTCTTCAATACCAAATAAACAGTGCTGGCAGTGGTGCTGTGGCTCAAAGTGGTGGAATGCTAGCTTTGAGCAAAAGCAGCTCAGGGCCAGGCGCTGGTGGCTCACACCTGTAATCCTAGCTACTCAGGAGGCTGAGATCTGAGGATCATGGTTCAAAAGCCAGGAGGAAAGTCTGTGAGACTCATCTCCAATAAACCACTCAGAAAACTGGAAGTGGCACTGTGGCTCAAGTGGTAGAGTGCCAGCCTTGAGCTGAAGAGCTGAGGGACAGCGCCCAGGCCCGGAGTTCAAGCCCCACAAACAACAACAAACAAAAGCAGCCCAGGCCCTGAGCTCAAACTCCAGGACTGGCCAAAAAAAAAAAAAAGGGGAAAAAAAAATCTTAAAACCAATAAACATTACCAAATTAGGATTCTGCATCCTTCAAAACTCAAAAACAGCCAGGCACTGGTGGCTTACGCCTGCAATCTAGCTATTCAGGAGGCTGAGATCTGAGGATCAGGGTTCAAAGCCAGCCCAGGCAGAAAAGTCCTCAAGAGTCTTATCGCCAATTAACCACTAGAAAACCAGAGTGGCACTGTGGCTCAAGCAGTAGCGCATAGCCCAGAGTTCAAGCCCCACGACCAACAGAAAAAAAAAAAACACCTAAAATAGTAGCATTGGATTTAATCCTATAATTAGATCAAGTGAAAACCACTCAATGAGAAGGGAAGGAGTGTTGGATTTGGATTGGCATTCACCCACAAGTACAGAGGAAACTATCTCAGATGCTGCTAGACAGGGTACAGTTCGCAATCAGGAAGTGGTTGCTCCAGGCCCACTGTTCTCAGACTGGTAAGATTGTTAGACATGCCAGGAAGACAAAACCCTCAAGTGTCTATCAGGAAACACCTTTACATAGATACAGGTAAAATGAGAAATCATGAAAACTAGGAAGTATTTTGAATACACTAAAATTTGAGGATTCTGCTAGAGAATTGAGAATGTATTGTGTACAGATGAGACAAAGGGCTCGGTTGGGGGCTGGTGGCTCACGCCTGTAATTCTAGCTACTCAGGAGGCTGAGGTCTGAGGATCCTGGTTTGAAGCTAGCCTGGGCTGCCAAAGCCCCATGAGACTCTCACCACTCAAAAACTGGAAGTGGAGCTGTGGTTCACACGAGCCTTGAGCAAAAAAGCTCAGGCCCGGGCTGGGAGGGTGGCTCAGTGGTAGAGTGCTTGCCTTGCATGCATGAGGCCCTGGGTTCAATTCCTCAGCACCACATAAGCAAAAAGAAAAAAGCCAGAAGTGGCACTGTGGCTCAAGCGGTAGAGTGCTAGCCTTGAGCTGAAGAGCTGAGGGACAGCGCCCAGGCCCAGAGTTCAAGCCCCACAACTGGACCAAAAAAAAAAAAAAAAAGCTCAGGCCTTGAGTTCAAGCTCCACAAACAAAAGAAAAAAGGGCTCAGGCTGGGAACATGGCTTAGTGGTAGAGCGCTTGCCTAGCATGCATTGAAGCCCTGGGTTCGATTCCTCAGCACCACATAAGCAGAAAAAGCTGGAAGTAGCACTGTGGGTCAAGTGGTAAAGCACTAGCCTTGAGCACAGAGAGGCTCGGGGACAGAGCCCAGGTCTTGAGTTCAAGCCCTAGGACCGGCAAAAAGAAAAAAAAGAGCTCAGTGGTAGAGAGTTTGCCTAGCATGTGTAAGGCTATGGGTTGTATTCTCAACACAGGAGGGAAGGAGGGAAAGAAAGGAAAAAATAAGGACGTTGGCTCAAAGCAATGATCAAAGCTTACATCTCAAGAAATCAGAAAATGGGGCTGGAAAGGTGGCTCAGTGTTAAAGAGTGCTTGTCTTGCATGCATGAGGCCCTCGGTTTGATTCCTCAGCACCACATACACAGAAAAAGCCAGAAGTGGCACTGTGGTTCTAGTGGTAGAGCGCTAGCCCACAGCTGAAGAGCTGAGAGACAGCGCCCAGGCCCAGAGTTCAGGCCCCATGACCAATCCCCCCTCTCCCCCCAAAAATGAGAAAATTATGCCAGGAGTGGTAGCACAGTCCTATAGCATTAAGGGAGGTGATGCAAGAGGATTATAAGTGTGAGGGAAGGAAAAAAATCAGTATCAACAACAAACTGAACCTCCCTAAGAGAAATAATGAAATAAAAATGCAAACATGAAAGAGAAGATATGAAACTATGGAAAGTTATCACACAAATGTACAGACTCACAGTGGCAAAAAGGGCTTCAGTTTCTAACGAGGATGAAGGCTGTTTGTTCATGGCCAGCCAGAACTAGCTGGTAGAATAATAGTCATGAAAAGGAGATAGGTATCAGGGTCCCTACAGAAACCACACACTTACCTAAGAGATGTGGAGGCAGATCTGAAGGTCTACCCTGGAGCACAGAGAACAGAAAGCATGCTCCTAGGAGAGCAGAGGCTAGCAATGCTTAGCATGGACCTCAAACAGTGCTGAGTTAGCACTGGGCAAGTTGCAAGAAGAGAAAGCAGCAGCTGGGAAAGTGATGACCATGAGGCTGGTGGGCCAGACGTGGGTGGGAAGCTAAAAATTGGCCAGGTTTTCTTCCTGGGACTTGTGCTTAGTGACTAGATGGGGAGGCTGGGGGCAGCACAGAAGTGCAAGACAGAGCATAGAGCCTGGAATCTTGCTGTATTAAGCAGCCAAGCAGCCAAGGTCCTATCAGGATGCAGGACTGGCACTAAACACCACCAGACCTATACTCAAAGCATCAGAGTCAACATGAATTGAAACAGAATGAAGTGGTAACCCTGCCTAACCAGCAACCATAGCTCCCAACTAGAAAGGAGCAGGTGCTTATTTAGCAAGTTGGAGGCCCTAGGGGATCTCAACCTGCAAGACTACAACAATAATAATAATAGGTCAAACTGGGCACTGGTGACCTATACACCACAACAAAAGATGAATAAAATGGAATTGTCTCTGCACCCCACATTCCTGCCCCATGTGGAGCAGACTTGGACATTTTGACAATAGCTGGTTTTCAGGGATTGAAAACCATTCCAGTGACTAACAGAGACACTGGACCTTCTGGGCCAGTGTTCTGCTGCCACTACTTTTTTTGTTGTTGTCGGTCGTGGAGCCTGAACTCTGGGCCTGGGCGCTTTCCCTCAGCTCTTTGGCTCAAGGCTAGCGCTCTACCACTTGAACCACAGCGTCACTTCCTTTTTTTTCTGTTTATGTGATGCTGAGGAATCAAACCCAGGGCCTCATGCATGCTAGGCAACCACTCTTACCACTGAGCCACCTTCCCAGCCCCTCGTTTTGGTCGTTTTGTTGAGACTATATGATCCAGGCTGGCCTTGAACTTGTGATTTTCTTGCCTCAGCCTCCCAATGGTGAGATTATAGTTAACACCGTGCGTGGCTCCCCCGCCCCCTTCCCATTGTTGGTTGTAGGACTTGAACTCAGGACCTGGGCACTGTCCATGAGTCTTTTGCTTAAGGGTAGCACTTCTTCCACTTTTGAGCCACAGCGCTATTTTCAGTTTTATGGTGGTTAATTTAGGAGATAAGGGCCTCATAGATTTTCCTGCCTAAGCTGGCTTTGAACCGCAATCCTCAGATCTCAGCCTCCTGAATACCTGAGCTACCAGCGCCTGGCTTGGAATTATTTTAGAAGGGAGAAGGTAAGGTAAGGAGTGATAGGAGCAAGTATACATGTGGAGAAGGTAAGGGAGAGTGACAGAGGGGAGAAATTATACATGTGTGGAAAGGTCACAACGAACACTGCAACTAATGTATACTAGTTTTTAAAAAATCATTAAAAACCACACAAACCTTTCCGGTGGGAGTCCCAGTTCAGTAGCAGAGTGTAGAAATGCAAGACACCCTCGTTTCTTCCACTTCCTGCTTTTCCTTCTTGAACTGTTTTCTGTCCTCCTGCGTTGCTGACCTAGGCAGGTTCTTCCATCTTGAAAGCCTAGCTGTCCATCCTTGGGCTTCCAGGTGGCTATTGGCGGGAGGATTCCCTCTCCTCTCCTTACCTCCCTCTACCTACAGGTCCTGCAGGAAGCTGAAATACACCCAGCACTTGGGGAGCTATCCTTCTGCTAGCTTCTAAACTGGACAGTGCTTTTGTAGGGCCTCCCCCTTCCTGTCCAGCTGTGGGGAGAAACACTTGAGAAGGGAGGGAAGGATTCACCCTTGTCCTTAGGCAAGGAGCGCCATGGCCATAGGCTCTGCAGTAACTACAGCTAAGACTGAGCTTTGCTTTCCCCACCCCTAACATCTTTTGTCTGCTCCACTCAGTGTGGTTTTTGGGGGCTTCCTGCCTCCTACTGCTCTTCTAAGGAGGCAGTGAGGAGTCCGCACTCATCCGGCCCGGCTGCCTGTTTGCATTCTGCTTCCCAAAGACACCACCCTGGTCCCCGCAGCTCCTCAGGACCCTGACAAGAGAGTAACTGTTGTCAGCTTTGAGTTGGGTTCTAGAAATACCAGGCCGCACTTGGGAGTGGTTTCACTTTTCTTTTATTTGTTTTTTTTAAAAAAGCCCCTAAATTCTATGGCTTCAAGGAAGCATCAGAGAAACGTAAATGCCATTTCTGTACACTTTGTAAAGCAAGAATTATGTTTGAACAACCACCACCCCCAGGGACACCCAGGTGCCTCTGCCCTGGCCATTTGGGGGACCAAAAAGGGGCACCCCATATCACACTGGCTGCCCTCTGCCCCGTGCCCTCTGCAGGGCTGAGTGGGGGCATTAAGGCGATTTTTTAAAGTCTGGCATCTCCTGGACCACAGCCTCCTGCAGCACAGCAGGGGCACAAAGGAGCCCATGTGCTCAACAGTACAGTGGCTGCCCGCCTCCCGGGGTCCGGGGCACCTGGGCATAGCCTCCAGAGCAGGTGTATCAAGAAGCACCTGCCTGACAGGTGCAAGCTCCACAGGGCTGGGCTGCGGCAGCCGCACCGGGCGCCGAGCTTTGGTGCAGCATTTTGGTTGCGAGGCTGACTTTGGCCGCAGCTGCGGCCCCACCCTGACTTCCCCTTTGGTTTTGGGGAGGCCCAGGGCTGGCCTCACCCTGGCAGCAATGCCTGAGACCCTCCTGGGCAGCCGGTGAGTTGGCTCAAGAGCCTCTCCCAGGCTGGGCCTGTCCCCCCTGGAGAAAACGGCCTTTGGATAGAGGGAGACAAGCTGGACTTTATGAGGCTAACGGGAGTGGGCGGCCTGGGCCTCCGGGGCCACACTATGCACTTGAGCATGGGCGGCAGGAGGGGCGAGCGCAGGGTGGCCTCTGCTTTGTTCCTTTTATCCTTGTTTTAAATAGTTAATGCTCTCGGAGGGGAGGACTAGACACGGGTGTAGAAATTTCAGCCAAAGTCTTACGTGAAGGAAGTGACCCCACGTCCCGGGGGTGGGGGCCTGTGGCCGTTCTGGGCCCTTGGAGTCCCACAGTTTGCGCGCCCTGGCTTTGGCTGGGCTTGGACCCCGGGCCGCTGATGGACCCCCTAGGCGTCCTGAACAAGCGCCTGGGGCTGCACGGAGAAAGTCACAGCGCTGCAGGCACCTGGGTCATTTGTGCCGCTGCAATGATTTTCTCTTCGTCCTCTTGAAGAAACAGCAGCACCTAGAGAAGAGCAGGGAAGTAAGGGCAGTGGGAATGGGCTAGCTGCAGGACCAAAAGACATCCCCACCCCTAGAGCCCTATCCAGAGCCTTACTTGGTGTCATCGGCCACCTCTACCTCTGCAGGGGCCGTGATGGGGGCATTGGAGTGACCAGCTGTGGGATCATCTGCGTTCAGCTCTCCATTGGTAGAGTTCAGTGCCTAGGAGGGCAGGGGAAGTAAGGGAGTCATGCCAGCCTCTGGACCCTTGGATGTGGGAGTCCCAAAGGACAGGCACTCACCTGGTTTTTGTTGTGTGGCTGGGCTTTGTCCCGGTGCTGGGGCTGGGCAGGGAGGTCAGCATGAACGGTGCCAATGGGTGTTGGCTGGGAGAAGAGGCATCAAGATGGGCCAGGAGGGCTATTGCTCCCACCTACTCGGTCAGGCTCCCCTGGCCTACTATCCAGTGGATGGACACCTCCCCACTCATTCCTTGTTGTGCAGGGGCTGGCTGTCCCCCCCACCTACTGGGGGGCATGTGGCTCGCCCCTATCACACATGAGGCTCCTCACCTACTCTCACCCCATCACTTCTGCCCCCCCACTTCTTTCACCTACAAGGCATCCTCTCTGTATCCCCATCACCTATGGGAGCTCCCTACATGCAACCCCATCACCTACAGAGGCTCCTCCCCTTCCCTCTCACCTCTGGGGTCTTTCCCTCCCACGCCCATCACCACTTATATCACCTACCAGTCCCCCTCTTCTCCTCAGCACCTGTGGGAGCACCCTTCCTAGACCCCTCACCTAAGAGGAATCACCACCTCCACCCATCACCACTGGGTAGGGTACATCAGTACACACTCCCATCGCCTCCAGGGGGCGCCCCATACACCGTCATTACTTACAGGAGCTCCCCACCTACACCACTCCCTAAGGGGGCTTCTACTACACTCCCATAACCTACCCAAGGGTTCCTGAATACCACACCATGTCCACTAGTGGGGCTCCCAGCACCACCTACCAGAGGCTTCCCAGCCCAGTCATACTCGTAGTCGAACACGTAGCCGCTGCGGTCAAAGAGGTCAGTGAAGAGCTTCCTCAGGTAGTCATAGTCCGGCTTCTCAAAGAAGTCCAGGCGGCGCACATAGCGCAGGTATGTGGCCATCTCTTCTGCAGAGGGCGCATACAGGGCAAAATGAGGCCTGGCTGGGGCACTATGGACAGGGGATGTGAGCTGGAATATGCAGGCCTCACCTGGGAAGCTCTCACACAGCACCTCGATGGGCGTGGCCCGCTTGGTGTCACCGATCTTCTGGTACCGCTCCTTGAGTGTGTCGGCCTGCAGGGGACCATGGTCAGCACTGTCCAGCTCAGTCTCCTGCTCCTGCCTCCTCCCCACCTCGAGTCCTGGTCCCTACCTTGAGTCCCTGCCAGGGCAGGCTGCCACGTAGGAAGTACATGAACATGTGGCCCAGTGCCTCCAGGTCATCACGGCGGCTCTGCTCTGCGGACAAGAGCGGGAACAGCAGGCTCAGTGCGGCCTGCAGCCTCCAACCCTCACCCCCTTGTGCTCCCCACGGCGCTCACCCTTGCCCAAGTGTGTGTTGATGCTCATGTAGCGCGCAGTGCCCGTCAGGCTCTTATGCTCGCGGTACGGGATGTGCTTCTTGGTCTCAGGGTCGATGTACTCCTTAGCCAGCCCAAAGTCGATGATGTGGATGGAGTGCTGTCGCTTGGTCCCCGGGCGCCCCACCAGAAAGTTCTCCGGCTTCACATCTCGGTAGATGAGGCTCTTGGTGTGCACATACTCCATGCGTGTGATCTTGGGTGGGAAGGGGGCCTTAGCAGAAGCAGACCCCAGTCATGCCTTCTCCCCCCCACCCCCCAACAACTCCACACGTCCCTCCCCTTTGCCCGCACCAGCTGGATGGCAATCATGAGCACCGTCTTCAGCGTGAAGGTGCGGTCGCACAGGTCAAACAGGTCCTCTAGGCTGGGCCCCAAAAGCTCCAGCACCATGGCGTTGTACTTCCCGCAGGGGCCGAAGTAGTAGACCTGAGGGACTCCCTCTGCAAGGAGGAAACAGCTGCGTCTAGGCACCATACCCTGCAGGGGAACCAGTCTGCTGCCCACACATGCCCCTTACCTGCAGTGCTGAGCTGCTTGTAGAAACGGTACTCCAGGTGCAGCTGCGGGGCCCGGGACTTGATGGGCTCCTGGGAGACAGGGCTCAGTTAGCAGCCCCCCAGGGTCCCTATGGGGGCCACGGAACTCCCCTCCCCCTAACCACACAAGAGAACAAACTCACCAGTTTGATTGCCACGTACTCGTTTGTATAGAGGTTCTTTCCTATGGAAACAGAGGACATCAGGATTATAGGGCTCCTGGCCACTGTGCCCACACTGTCCTCAACCTTCACCAAAATCAGCACCACAGGCTCATGTCTGTTATTCTAGCTTTTCAGGAGGCTGAGATCTGAGGATTGCAGGTAGAAGCCAGTCTGGTCAGGAAAGTAGGTGAACCGTTTGACCTCCAAAAAAGCCAGAAGCAGAGCTGTGGCTCAAGTGATGAGTGTTATAACCTTCAGCAAAAAAAAAAGCTCAGGGACAGCACCCCGGTAGAATTTAAGACCAGCAAACCCCAGGACTGACACACACACAAAAAAGCATTTCCATCCTGGGTACTAGTGGGCCTACTCTCCTGGTGCCAAGGAAGGAAAGGGCAGTGCTGGGCCAGGGCACATCACCCTGTGAAGACTCCCTCTTGCTCAATAGGCCCTGCTGTATTGTCTCCTTGGGCCTAAGGAGCCCAAAGTTGAGCCAAGAGCCCCAAGCTCTGCTCTGGGCTTCCTATCAGCGGTCCAGAATGGGCAGGCTGGTTAGGCCAGAACCCCTTCCATGCTTAAGGCGGAGTTCTCCAGGCCTTCATCCACCACTCCTAGTCTCCATAATGGCCCAGGATGAGGATTACTTGCCAACAGACTGGCAGAGAAGTGGTGGTGTTATTAACTTCCAGGGAACTGGGCCCATGAGGGTGGTGGGATCCTACCTCTATGTTTCAGAGCCAGCCTCTATGTGTCTTCACAGAATATGCATATCCCATATGTATTTGCGAGTGCCCAGTCTCCAGGCTCTGCACGTCCCACCCGTAACCACCTCAGAGTTCTGTCCCAGATGGATTCCAAAGCTGGGCCTTTGTATGCTGCTTTCATCGTGCCTGCCACCCACTGCAGGAAGAGCTTCTATGTCCTCCTGGCTTTGCTGCAGGACAGCTGGGGGATCTGAAGACAGCAGGTGTGGAGACACTGCTGAGGGGATCAAAACTCAGAAGCTGAGATCCCCATGGTCACAACCCTACAGGCCTCTAGGCTGCAGTTTGTCCTCGATGTTCTGATGTGCTCGCAGACACGCTGCCATAGCTCTCTCTGGACTTGTTATGCTTAAATGCTGCCTTGCTGTCCAGGTGCTTGTTTCCAACCAGAGCCAACGGTCAGTTAATTCACTGGTGTCCCCAAATAGCCTGTAGGATCTCATCAAGCCTGTAGCGGCACTGCAGAAGGTGACATCTTGAGAACGCAGCAATGGCTCCTCTGTGAGCCAGTGAGCTGAGCGTACTACCCTCTGGCCTGGTCCCTGGGTTGCTCTGCCTCTGTGAACTGCTAATATAAAGAATGCTTAGCAGCAGAAATTCTGTGCAGAAACTGTCTGCTTGCCCCAAGACAGGGCAGTGAACCTGCTACACTATCTTGCCACCTCAGGATTTATTTGTTGTTCTGGGCATTTTTTGTTTGGTTGATTTTTTTTTTTTTTTTGTTCCAGTACTGGTACTTGAACTCTAGGCCTGACATTTTTCACTTGGTTCTTTTACTTAAGGCTGGTGCTCTACTATTTGAGCCACAGCTTCACTTTCAGGGGTTTTGTGTTTTATTTTTTGGTGCTGGTCCTGGGGCTTGAACTCAGGGCCCTGGCTGCTGTCCCTACTGTATCACTTGTAGCTTTTGGGGGTACTTTATTGGAAATAAGATTTTCATGGACTTTCCTGCTCTGACTAGCTTTAAACTGCAATCCTCACATCTCAGCCTCATGAGCTGCTACAATTTAGGTGTAAGTCACTAGTACTCACTATTTTTTGGATGGTACTAGAGTTTGAACTCAGGGTGCTAGGCTAGCACTTTACCACTCAGCCACATCTCCAACCCAGTTTTTTCTTTTTTCTTCTTCTTTTTTTTTTTTTGCTAGTTCTTTTTAGGACAGGATCTCACTTTCCACCCAGGTGTACACCCAAGCCACCATCCACTTACTCAAGGAATCCCCTCACTGAGAATCTCACCAACTTTTCTGCCAGGGCTGGTCTGGTTCTGAGCTGCGATTTATTCATCTCAGACTTCCAAGTAAACTTGGCTTATAGGTGTGAAACACAGCCGAACACACAGTTGGGATTCCTTATTTGTAGAAACATTCCCAAGTCCTAGACACAGCACAGTGCCCCTCCTACTGGTGTCACCTGTGATCAAGTTCAGCATCTATTTCTGGTCCTCTTTCCCTTTAGAGGCAAGTTCACACAGAAATGCCTCCACCTCCCAGCAACAATACCCCATCTAACCTACCCCACCAGACAGGATGCTTGATGGCTGTGGAGAAGCCAAGAAGGCAACCAACATAGGATGACAAGGCCATGTGTAAACTGTTCCCGCCTCCTGCTGCAGCAATCTGAGGAGCTCTGATCTTGTCCCCAGCTCAACCTCAGCAGATGCTGGATTGTTTCTAGGTTGCAACTCTCATGAGTGGTGCAATGCAGTAAGTCCACAATACAGGCTCACATGCGCCATTCTCTGAAGAGCTGCTACTTCAACAGTCTTCTTTCGGATTTTGTCTGTTCACATATTTTGCCCACTTTTCGCTGGATCATTAATCTTTTTCCCGTCATGGCTTTTTTTATGTACTCTAGGAAGATGCTCTGTGAACACCTGCTTCACCATCTGGAACCACTCACAATAACCCCCTCCAATGTCTCACGAGCAGCCATTTCCAGATGTGATGACACTTCCCTGGTCAATTATGTCTTATGGTGATTTTTTTTTCCTACTGTGCTTTACTGAAGAAACCTTAGGTGGACACAGCTGGCTAAGACCTGCCAGAGAGCTGGGTCCCTAGAGGAGAGCTTGGGTTCAAGTGAAACATGTACACAGGCACATGAGGTCTTGTGGACTTAGGACTGGAGGAGCTCATGCTCAAAAAGCCACTGCAGCAATTATGGTCACACAGGCCTGACAGATGGCAACTCTGAAAGTGGCTGTGGGCCAAGGAAGGATTCTGGATTTACACTGATGAGAAGATGCTGGAGCTCCAGCACCCAGGACATGACCACCTCCCCAAACTGCTGACATCCTCAGAGAAGGACGTTCAGGACAGTTCTATCCCTAGACACCCAAACAGAAACACCTGAACGCCCTTTAGCAGATAGACAAAGAAATAAAAGCATAGTACATGCTATAAGCAGACAACCCCACAGCAGTATGCAGTGAGCAATGACTGGGACATAAGAACATGAAGCCAGAGGCCAGGCTAAAAAGAACTCTAATTTACACAACTTGCAAAAATAAAAGCCACCCACAGCCCATGTGGACTCTCAGCTGTATAGGAACCTGCACTGCTTAGCTACTGCTCCCACTGTCCAAGCACAGGACCCAGGCCAACCATGTCCCTAAAGATGGATAAGGTCACCCTCCAGGTTGCCAGAAGATAGTGCTGGACATGTGATTGTGTATAAGTAGGTCTGTCTGCATAAGCTTGTGTGCATGTCTGTATGTATGCAATGTGCATACCACCACACTCACAGCTGTGTTCTTCTATGTATATGTGCCTTTGTGTGAGTCTACACTGTGCATCTCCCTGTCTGCAAGTGTCAATGTGTGAACACAGGTGCATATCTTACGGGCAGTAGGGAAGGCTCCATCTTTTGGCTAAAAAACCTGAAGCTGGGACTTTCTGAGGCTGCAGGCAGGAGGCTCTGCATACAGGGTGGTAAGAGGTGAAGACCTAGGGTCTCAGCAAAAGGTCATACAGGGGGCTGGGAAGGTGGCTCAGTGGTAGAGTGCTTGCCTTGCATGCATGAGGCCCTGGGTTCGATTCCTCAGCACCACATAAGCAGAAAAAGCCAGAAGTGGTGCTGTAGCTCAAGTGGTAGAGTGCTTTGAGCTGAAGAGCTGAGGGACAGCGCCCAGACCCAGAGTTCAGGCCCCATGACCAACCAAAAAAAAAAAAATATATAGGCTCAGGACAGAGTTTCAAACTGGCCTTATGAGGAAACTAAGTAAAGCCACTGAAAAGAGGCTTTCCAAAATCACACACCTCCTGGGACACGTGGCCACACTAAACCAGAGACCCCAAAATTCTCAGAGCTTGCCATGTGCTTGTCACAGAAGTCAACTGCTATAACTCTCATACCAGTCCCTCAAGAAGCAAATGTCACCACTCCATTTACAGGTGCAGAAACAGGTGAGTGGGGGCTCCAGCGTGGCTGCTGCCCTGGGGTGCAGCCAAGTCGCATACATCCCATATGCCTCAGTCTCCCTCATCTGACCACTCCAGATGGAGGCTGGGTGCCTGATGTGGTAGTCTGGCATGGAGCATGTACCAAGTCCCCTTGCCTGGTGCCCAGGATCCCCATACCATCTGAAAGGGTCAGGGGTCTGACATGGCTGGGATTCCAGCAGCTTCTGGGAACAGAAGCCTTCCATGGATGGATGACCAGAAAGACTGGGCCTGACCTGACTTGATAAGAACAGAGCTCCTCAAAGGCTGGCATGCTGACACCTGAAGGCAGGCCTCTGCCAAGGAGGGATTCTGGCTTAGGGTCCTGTGTGTTCAGGGGTACCCACCTCAGGCTTCAAGTGTATGCCCCAGGTGGACCAAGCATTGTGTGCCAATGAAAAAAGGTACACAGGGCTGGGAAGGTGGCTCAGTGGTAAGAGTGCTTGCCTCGCATGCATAAAGCCCTGGGTTTGATTCCTCAGCACCACATAAACAGAAAAGGCCGGAAGTGGCGCTGTAGCTCAAGTGGGAGAAGCACTCGCCTTGAGCTCAGAGACAATGCCCAGGCCCAGAGTTCAAGCCCCATGACTGACAAAAGAAAAAAAAAAAAAAAAGGTACACAGTGTGGCACTAGTGGCTAAACGTGACCAGGGCTCCCAGCTGCTTCCAGATGGCCCTGCAAACCATGCCAGGATTTGTCCAGCTTAGAAATCGGGGGAGGGAGTAACTACTGTAAATAAGCAGTCAGCTCTCCCCATCAGCGTTGTGTGGCTTGTCTGTCCTGCTCCTCGCAGGTCTTCGGAGGGGCCAGGTCCGAGCTTTCTTCCTAAAACGTCCCTAAATGACCCGACAGTTCCAGGGATATCCACTAGTGGTGGGGGTCAGCCGTACCAGCTCAGCCTGTCAGCAAGACCTCCCAGTTCTCCCTGCCATTGCACAAGTGGGGGACTTACCTAAGCGAAGCTCCCCGAAGTTGCCACAGCCTATCTTCTTGCCAACTCGGAAGTTGGGGCCCACCATCAGGACCCCTGAGCTGGTCCCCGAGCTCCGGACGCCATGGCTGCTCCGGCCCCCGCCGGTTTTGGACATTCTCTGGCCCTCCTCCAACTCCCCTTTCCCTCCTTTCTTGTCAAAATCCATAAGTTTGTGGTACCCTGGCCTCTCCACGGTGACTCTGCTCTGTGCAATCCCGAGTCTACAAAACCTGAGGTCACCACTCTGCGCTAATACACCATCACACCAGCTGTGGGTGGCCTTGCGGCTCCCAGCTAATGACACGCAACCACGCTCGTGGGCTCAGCCGCGGTGCTCATCTTGGTGGCCTCAGGGTTGCTTGCAGAGAGAGGAGACATCCTGCTGACAGGTCCCACAGCCTCAAATCTCGTGGCACCCAGCTGCAGAGAGAAAAAGAAAGGGGGGAGGGAGGGGAAGAGGGGAAGGAGAGAGGGAGAGAGGGAGGGGGGGGGGGAGAGAGAGAGGTCAAGAAGCTTGTGAGGACATCACAGAGCACCATGGCTCCCTGTGGGGTAGACTGGGTGAGCAGGCTAACTAAGTACAGCACCAGGACATGTCTCCTAGGAGGCTATGTTTCCAGAAACATCTTTGGAGATCTGAGACAGGCCAACATTCCTGCCCTAGATCTTATGTGAGGGACTCATTACCTACCTCCTACCTAACCCCCACAAATCCATCACTAACAGAAGAGGTCAGAGATCAGATTGAAGGTTGTGACCTCGGGCACATGGACTTCCCAAGGGGAAGATAGGGTGGGTAGCCTAGACCAAGTAGCCAAACAGCAGAGGCCTATGAGAGGCTGAAGTATGGCAGGAGGCCTCAAATTCAAAAAGCCTGTCTGCTGGTCCTGGTCTCTACTCTAAGGACTGCTTAAGAGCGGGAAGGTGACAGATGGCAGAGCAGACAGGGCTCAGATGGGGACAGGAGCCTCCGTACCTGACCTCAGACAGGCCTCCACTGCCTCTCCATCCCAGGAAGAGCACTGACACAGTGAGAGGGTAGGCTGTGGAAGCAAGGAACTATAACTGTGCAGCCCAGACTGTGGCTTCTCCAGAGGTCCTGGTGGGAAGCCCAGACAAGCGCTGTGCAGAGTGGTAGGGGAAATGGCCTGGCCCTACACCGAAAAACAGGCTAAGAGGGCACAGAAAGGAAAACAGCCCAAAGGCGGCCCAGGTAGAAAAGCCGCAGAAGCCGGGCGCTGGTGGCTCACGCCTGTAATCCTAGCTACTCAGGAGGCTGAGATCTGAGGATCGCGGTTCAAAGCCAGCCCGGGCAGGAAAGACCGTGAGACTCCTATCTCCAATAAACCACCAGAAAACCAGAAGTGGCGCTGTAGCTCAAGTGGTAGAGCGCTCGCCTTGAGCTGAAGAGCTGAGGGACAGCGCCCAGGCCCAGAGTTCAAGCCCCACGACCAACAAAAAAAAAAAAAGAAAAGCGGCAGAAATCTGCCCTGAGATGCCCTCCCCATAGCTCAAGTGCCTGAATGGCTCCTCCTAGAACCTCACTCCCTTCAGACTTGGCCTGCACCCACCCATAGACCATCTTGACAGTCCTTGTCATGCCAAGTGCAGGCCTTCACACACAACCTTCACACCACCAGCTTCTGCTGCTCCCAGCTGGAGCTCCCTATATCAGAGCCTCTAGTTCTCAAGCCCCTGGGCTAAAGGAACCAAATTAAAATTTTTTCTGCTACAGAGTACTGGGTGTGGTAGCAGAGGCTACTGGACTGGAAAAACAGAGGCAGGAGGATTATGAGTTCCAGTTCAGCCTGGACTACATAGCAAGACTCTGTCTCTAAACAAATCCAATTAATCTGCTCCATCAGAGACCTAGGTTCAATGCTAAGCATCAAAACCACAAGGCAAGGCTGGAAACGTGGCTTAGTGTTAAAGTGTGCCTAGCACACATTAAGCCCTGGGTTCGATTCCTTGGTACCACATAAACAGAAAAAGCCAAAAGTGGCACTGTGGCTTAAGTAGTAGCCTTGAGCAAAAGCAGCTCAGGGACAGTGGCCAGACCTTGAGTTCAAGCTGCAGGACTGGAAAAAACAAAACAAAACAAAAACAAAAAAAACACAAATCCATCTGCTCCTTCAGGCTTTGCAGCTATGAACTGAGTGCCAACAGAGCTGGGAAGGGCCTTGCCTGCCAAACTGACCCCTATGGGGTCATCCTGCCTACAGCCCCACCCAGCACTAAGCCTCATGCTTAGTGCAAGGACATAGCACCCCCCCCCTCCCCAGCAACTGTAAATAGTTGAGAGAGGAAGGAAATGAGAGGAATGGAGACCAAGGACATCAAAGGTTCTTACTAAGCAAGGTGAACAGTGAGTGTCAGTAACAGGAGACCATGTCGCCACAGGTCTTGCCAGTTTCAGGTTAGCTTGAACAAGAGGGGCTCTATACAGACCCCAGCGTGAAAGTGCCCCAAACTTCCCTCTTGGAGACCCTCTTAAGGTAAGCACGCAGGCAAAGCGCCTGCCTAGGTAGTATGACAGGATTCTTACAGCTGTCAAGTTCCAGGAGAACAATGCCATCTGCACTCTTCGGTGCCCAAGCCTCCATCTGGGTTGTCCATACTATTCAACATACATAGTGGAAGGACTGGTTGCAAGTGGACCCAAGACTGAGAGCCATAACTAGGGACTATGACATTGTCAGACATGACACAGCTACATGAATGTGGGAACACAGGGAGTGAAGTCTGGGAGTTGTAGTTCTACAAGTCTCTCTGGCGCTCAGGACTACTGAACAGTACACCCATCTAGGGGCTTTTCCACCTCCCCAGAATAAGGATAGGCGGGGGGTGGGGGTGGGGGGGGTCCTGGGCCCTGTACCTGCTCCAGGGCACTTCCAGCTCCTCCCTGGAAGAAGGCCACAGGGCAGGGTCCTCTGGGAACCAGACCAAGGGCAGTGCCTGGATCTTGGGAACACCTGCTGGAAAGCCCTCAATTAGTCCATTCCCCAGAGCCACAGATGAAAGGAGACATTATCACAAGTGGTAGAGCGCCTGGCCTGGTGTACTCACATCCACACTCAAGAGCATGCTGACACTCAGATGCACAAACTCTCAGACAACAGCATTCTGAGGCCCTAAGAAATGCCAGCCAGTGGCCCATATCAGTTCTGGCCCCAACAGAACTAAAACACGGCTTGCCTAGCATACATGAAACCCTGGGTTTGATTCCTCAGTAGGACATTAACATTAAAAACTGGAAGTGGTGCTGTGGCCCAAGTGGTAAAGAGCTAGCCTTGAGCAAAAGCTCAGGGACAGTGCTCAGGCCCAGAGTTCAAGCCCCACGACTGACAAAAAAAAAAAAATCAATGGAGCTGAGTGTTGGTATCTATCTCACATCTGTAATCCTAGATACTCAGGAGGCTGAGATCTGAGGATCAAGGTTCAAAGCCAGCCGGGGCAGGAAAGTCTATGAGACTCATCTCCAACAAACTACTCAGAAATGGCTGGAAGTACTATGGCTCAAGTGGTAGAAGACGAAACTCAAGGCCTGGACTCTATCCCTGAGCCTCTCTGTGCTCAAGGCTAGCACTTTACCACTTGAGCCACAATGCCACTTCTGGCTTTTTCTGTTTATGTGGTACTGAGGAATTGAACCCAGGGCTTCATGCATGCTAGACAAGCACTGTACCACATTCCCAGCCCAGAGCACTAGCACGCACGCGCGCACACACACACACACACACACACACACACACACACACACACACACACACACACACACACACACACACACCTTCCAATAGAGTATCATATATTTCATTATTTGTAAACCAGGGGCCAAAGATCTGCACAGAAAAGCATATATCAGAACAGGCAAATCTAGAGGCTATAGTGTCAAGTGATCAGGTTATCACCCCTAGTTGTGTACCTGAGAATTGAACAGGTGCACACAGAAACGTATGTATGAACGTGCAGCAGCGGAGGATAATCCAGTGTCTGTGATGGGTGAATGGACACGGTGTGGTTCTCCACACTAGAGTATCACTGAGTCATGAACAGGAGTAAAGTTTTGACACATACTACAACAGAGGGATCCTGAGGACTCTCGGGGAGAGAACAAAAAGGCCTCACACTGGTCTGCTTTCCACAGCAGATACACCACCTCACATCCCCTCAGTGGGTGAGGGCTCAGGGTCTCCACCCCTCCCCTACCCTCCTTTGCTCACAGCCACCTGGTGGGAGATGCCGCTGCACCAAGCTGGATTTGTATTTCCTTGCCTGAACTGTGGCGGGCAGCCAGCCCTGTGCCGGTTGGCGCTGAGCACAGGGAAGCAGTGGGAAGTGTGGTTGCAGGTGAGTGACCACTGAGCACATGACATCCCTGCCTGTCAGTTTGCTAGAAATATGACTCTCCCTGCTGCTCAAGAAGAAGGGAAGCACAGGTAGCCAATGGCTAACCATCAACCTCTTCCCTGGGCACTCTGAGAACCTCTGTACACAATCAGTGGTGCTCTCCCATGTATTCAGGAAATAGTCTCCTTTCCTCTTCTGAAGCCCATCTTCCCTGTGGCCCAGGGCTTTGGCATTATGTGGTAGGGAGACGGGACGCAACAGCACCTGTGTGTGTCACTAGCTAGTGCTGGGCCACTTCTGCAATGCCCAGCAAGGCCTTTGTGAGGAAGAAAGGACATGACAACCAGGCCCAGATGCTCTTCTGCACACCTTAGCCTAGCAGGATACCCCTGAAGCATGGATATCTTCAGGCTGAGCCAGTGACTGCCTTTAGTCACACCACGCTCCTCACCCATTGAGGCCACAAGTTGGACCAGCTCCTTTGACAGTGCTGAGTTAGCCATGGCCAGGCTTGCTCCTGCTCATATACCTGGAAGTGGCATCTGCTGCCAACAGCACAGTAGTGAAGAGGCCCAAGTGGCACCCAGCAGCCTGGAGCCATAAGGTTCCTGTCCTGAGGGATCTCATGAGAATGAGATGGTGCCTAGTCCAAGCATAGGAGCCTATACAATGAAGCTGGGGGAGGGAATGCCCTCATGTCTGCCAGGGAACACCTGTACTTACTGAAGGATATCATAGGCTAAAACCAGAAATTCAGCAATCCAGCCCAGCACAGCCAGCATGGACACACCCTGACACATGGGCAGCTCAGCACAAGCAGGCCTACCTTCTTCAGAAAACCTCTGTATGCCATAGAGCAAGTCACTGAGATACACATGCCTGCACTGAGATGCCCACTCAAGAGGTTGCTTACCAGTAGGCCTGCAGAAAGCAAACACACACACACACACACACACACACACACACACACACACATATGCATACTCCCCAGGCCAACATGCTTACATCTCCCTGTCCCCAGTATCCACATAACCAGAAGAGACTTGGCACATGCAGCCGTGACTGCCTAC